TACTCAATTTCTTGAGAGCAAGGATTATGTCTCTTTCACCTCGATATTCCCAACATGACACAGAACATGACAAGTAGAAGACTCTCAAGTTTACTGAATATTTCCCATCTTCCTCCACCTTTCTTCCTCTACTGGGATCACTCTTACCCCCTAGAATAGTTCCTTGAGTGCCCCAAGCAGGCTTCCACCTCCGGATATTTTTACAAGAGTAGTCTTGCTTCAAATGTTGCCTTCACCCATCATTCAGATCACTGCTCAAATGCTACCTCATCATAGACATCTTTCCTTCAACCCTATATAGTTAGTACTCAAGCAACACATCCCTCTTTCCCCTTACCCTGTCTCACATTTTTTTCATGGCAGACATCATTATATATTTGATGGCATATTTTTATCTGTCTATCTACCAGAATAAAATCATCAAGAAGCATAGGACTTTGTCTGAATTATTCAACAGATGAATAAAGATCTGATGCATGTATGAAAAAAGTAAGTGATGTTATTTATCACCTACACATGACACTGTGTCTCTTCCATTTACCTTCCATCTGATTTTATTCTCATCAAGACATGTATCTAGGACAAAAGAAGAATTAAGACACAAAACTCCCAGATTTGTGAAAGATAATAAGACTCAGTAAGGAATAATATTATAACTTTAAAAGGGGCAATGGTTCAGCTACCCACTGTTTTTATTAATTTTGTTTTGAGAATGCATTTTACCCTCTAATTCATTTATTCAACAAATATTTATACCACACCTATCATTTGTTCCTTTTGAAAACTTAAAAGCTGCCTAATACATTTGTATCACTGTTCATAGTTTACAAGGTCCTTTCTGACATTCCAATGTATCCTCATAAACAATTCTTTTCCTAGAGATTGCCCAGAGTTCCTAGTGGTCTCCTGCACTTTCTTTGGGCTTTTTCAACATGCTGCCTACGTCTCCAAGACAGCAAGGAGAATCTCTCATCTTAGCTAATTCAGAAAACTTTCCTAATGTAACAAAAAAGCAGAGGCCTAGCCTGTCACCTTTGCATATTGTATTGGTTAGAAGCAAGTCACAGGTCCCTCCTACACTCAAAAGAAGGGATTAGCCAAAGGCATGGACACCAGGAGGCAGGAATTTATCTCTCTACCTTAGTTCACCATCTGACTCCCAAAGATTAATTAATATTCCTTCTACTTGCAAAATACATTCATTCACAAACACTCCCAATGAACCCAAGAGTCTCATCTCATATAGCGTCAGATCTCTTACAAAATCACATCATAAATGATGTCCAAGTCCAAATGCAGCTCCTGGGTGTCATCTGTTACATACAGCTCCTGGGGCACAATTCCTCTCCATCTGTCAAGCTGTGAAACAAGCGACCTGCCCCAACACATCTAGATTACAGTGTTAGATCGCACATGACCAGGAAGGCACAGGTTAATAGCTATAGACATTTGGGTCCAAAAGAGGGGGAAATGAAAGGCAGAAATAAAGCTGGGCAAACCATAGGAGTTCCTTGATTCTATTTAAGGCCTGGAAATAATTCTCAACGGTGATCCGTTGGCTTTTACTTCTGCCCTCAGAGTCATCTCTTTTCTTTCACGAAAGGTAACACATGGATGCAGTTGAGTAGTTTTATAAACCTGCTTCCTGCCAGTAGAGTTTTAGGGGTCTGACCTCCTCCTTTTATTCTGTATTCTGTCCCTTTCAATCCAAGCTGGTAGTGTTTCTGCTGAAATCATTTTCTCAAACACCTCCTGGGTCTCCCCTGGTTTTAATGAAGTTTACTCTTTTTGAAAAAAGCCACATCCACAGGTCCTTTCCAGAAAAACTGCACCTGTGGCCCGTGCTCTGATGGCTGAGGGACCAATCTCTTAAGCTTCTTAGAAGTCCTATCGTTTGCTTGGGAGTCACATCCAAATCTCTTGAAAGAGCTCCTTGTGTGACTGAATACTCCCACCCCTCAATCCTTCTGAGGTTTTGATGAAAAGTTACGTAGTCACACTGTCAGTTTTTTCACTCTATCTTAATTTTAGCACCTTTTTCCATTTGAAGAGATTGAGAACTTTCAGATTCATCCAGTCCTGGTTCCATTTTGTTTAACAATTCTTCCCTCCATTTATCTCTCTTCTCTTCATTTCAGCAGCAAGAAGAAACCAGGTGGAACCTTCATACGTTGCCTGAAATCTCCCCACCTCTACAACCGAGTTCAGCTTTCGCGTAACTATAGGAGGCAATTTCAAAATTTTTCTGCAACTCTTGACATGGATTCCCTTCCTCCAGTTCCCAATGACATATTCTTTACTTCCTTCTAAGACTTCACTAGCAGTATCCTTAAAGTCCGGATTTCTGTTAACCCTTAATACAGAGCAGATAGAGCTGTATCTAGAAACAATGCCAGCTTTCCCTCCCTGATGCACACCAGGAAGTCAGGACCATGCAGAAAGTCACTTTATAACTTAAAGTCTCGCCATCGGGCACAGATCTGACAGGTATTTCAAGGTGTTTCTCTCTTCCTTCCATCTGTTCCCAACTGTTCTACATCCACTATGTTTCTACATCCATAAATAAAAACTCCCAGAAAAAAACTTAGACAAAGTCAGTAGGACTACTAACAATGTTTTGCTTCTTTTAGATAGAGACAGTGCAAGGAAAATTCTATGTATATGATTAGAAATAGAAAGAATTCCCAGATAATGCAAACTGAGAATTCTTGGAGTTCTTGTATCCCCTGAGATCAGAGTATGAGAGGGCCAGGCAATAAAGATAGAGAAGAAGGTACTAAAGTAGAGTAGCTGTACTTTATATTTGTTTGTTTGTTTGTTTGCTTGCTTGCTTGTTTGTTCACCAAAACTGAAAGGCTCTTATGACTTTTCAGATGTTGAAAATAAGGAAGTTTGGCTAGAGGGCCTCATGAGGCCCTTAATTCTAATTTTTGTGATGCTATGATTTGAAAATATAAAATTTAAATTAGTGTTGGTGTTGAAGTAGAACTCTCATAATGCGAGTCTTGGCACTGAGTTCAAGCTCTTGATCAAGTTTCAGTTGAGAGCTCGGTGATGTTGGCCCCTATTAATATTCCAGCCAACCAGAACCCAGGGAAAACAGTGAAAAGTAAGGTCTAAGAATTAGGAGGCCAACTTGGATAATCAGCAATCAACTTATATATGAAAATGAGCACCTTCTTGGGCACATCACAAATATACACCAAAAATCTGTCACACTCAAA